GGGGGGGGGGAGTAAAATATGCATACTTTTTCATATTTTCAAACTCAACAATGATGCTGAAATCTCATTACAGCTCCAAGGTTTTACGGGGCGAATTGTTTACCTATTGATGAGCTCCGATTGAAGCCATTGCACGCCTTCGTATGATGAACGGTTCCCGAGATGAAAATTCTGCCGTTCATGGGGTTTTCCGTTTTCCCACAAAGTTCGGGGGGCTACATCTCGCTAAACGCAGATCCGATGGAGGTGATTCCTTTTTTGCAGGGTAGTTAGCTTGACTGCAATAGCTGAGAATTGTTATCACAGAATCAGAAATAGTGGAGCGCCATTTTGCAGTAATGTTGGTTGAGTTCGTCTGAAATAAGGCAACTGCAAGCGTAAATTGTAAGCGGCAACCAAGGGATGTCTGCGTCGATTTGTGGCTTTCGCAAAGCCGGATCAGACGATCTCACTATGGGTACCAGTAACCGATGTACTGACAAATTATCAGGTGAAGATGAACATCCTCCTGCTGGTCTCGCTCCTCGTGCTCTCTGCCTCTACGGTGATCTGCAAGCAATGCTACTCGTGTCAGGGGACGGACGGATGCAACCTCGACAGTCGGCACTGGGATGTAGTGAACTGCGACGGTGACGACGACCACCTCGGTTTACCGCAAGGGGGTCAGAGAAGTCTGGAACCTGACGAACGCGACCGTTACTGCTTCAGTTCGTGGAGGGACAGTAAGCTGAATACATACTAGCGTTCAATAGATAATTTAGGGCTCGCCGTCGTAGCTGGATTTGTGACGGAATTATATCTGCTCCTTGCCGGACGAGTCAACACCGACTGAACCTTATCAGCGTTTACAAGCCAACCTTTGAGCGCTGTGTACGTGTCACGTCAGGAATATGCCTACTAAGATTTTCTCCGCGCCATACGTGAAAGATCAGATTTCCACAGGCAAAGAATGGGTTGATTCCATTGAGCATGTCATACCGTCGCCGAAAAACAACGAAGATATGCCAAGGCTAACGCAGCAAGCAAGGTGTAACGCAACAGGGAGTCGCGCGGCGATTCGGATATGCTCGTGTGACCAATACCGGGTTCGATCAGCGCTTTATCACAAGCGGCAGAACACTTGACTTGAGAATCGCTGCATCCCTCGAAGTCAATTGTTCTACCGTTTTCTTCCAAGAGGGTGTAACGCCTCGATATTCTTTCAATATTTTCCGAGCATCTTTTTACTCCGCACTAACTGCCAACATGTTTTATCTCGCCACAATTTTGATGTTTCATTATGTCCAGCTAGGCCAACGTTTGAAAGAGAATTTGCCATCTGAGTCCTCAACTAACAGCTTGGAAGACTGATCTTTTGTCATGAGCTAAGTAGCTTGTAAGTGCCCTGTAACGGGCCTGTAAAATTGAGCCGGATTAGTTTTTGAGATAAGGTTTATCTGCGCAGCTGATCAACTTGTAACCAACGCATGGAAGCACCTGTCACCTGATAAAAAGGAATTGGTAGCCCTAGAGAGTTTTATGTCCCAGATCCTACGCATGAGAAAGTAAGGCATTGTAAGAACTGCGGGGTATAATTAGTGAGTATAATCAGCAAGTTATGTTTCTAAACATGCATACCTATTGTAACGTATTATGTTGCCTTGCGTATATGATGGTATGCAGCCTAAGCCTTTGGCGGCTGTGGAAATGATTTAATCAATTGAAATTAAATTGAAACACCTGTCAACTTGAAGAGGCAAAACAGTGTAAGCTGGGTCACTGTAAACCTGAGGTCAAAGCAAGCTTGCTTAGCACTATAAGCACGGCGCAATCGCTTTGCTATCGGTTTGAACTAGACATGTTATAGCGTCGACAAAGTTGAGCTGGGCGGGAGAAGGTAAAGATCTTCACGAAGTCCTACGGCCGACATCTAGAACCTGTCCTCTTCTTTGCGTGTTACGAGATGAACACGTGACAGACTGTTTCTGCAAGGAAGACCTCTGCAACGACGAAGGAAAGTTTTTACAGCTCCTTCCTTTTGATCTTACGATGGCAACGCTGCTGCTCCTGGTCACGCCTGCCTTGTAGTGTGATACCCGGTGACTTGCTACGCTGCCACTGGAAGTCTGGTTGCCTACCGTAACAACCAGTCTGTGGAAGGATGGTGAGGACCTTCCCGTTCTTTGCTTGCGCATAGAAAGTTTACAGTAATGCGCAATGGCTCGAAGCCCATAAAATTCTGCCACAAATGAACGTATTCGAAGGTTCTTATTTCAGAGATTTGACGGTTTAGCCAATGGAGAAATGATGATAGCTTCCAAATTCATCAACATTTCTTATTAAATTTAAAGGTTGTATTTTACATGATCTCTTTGAATCCAACTTTTTTTAAATCCTATGTTGGGGATCCCATACAGAATAAAGCGACAAAATACCCTTATTGTTAAGGATAAGACTCAATATTTCCGTGTTGATGAAAGTCTTCCATGGGTACTAATATTATGACAGGCTAGCGTGGAATCTCCGGATTTCGCCAAAAAAACGCACAACCAAGGAGTTGAGTGGCGAACCTGATGAAATTCGGTACACAAGCCAGTACTACCATACCAAAATTCATTCGAGTTTCAAGTGCGTGGGATACATGGAAAAAAACTGGCCAAACAACTTTCCTGGCGCCGACAGTGACTAGAGGTAGTCGTACATGAGAAGAATGGGACAAGTCATGTTTTCACAGAATTCCACATTCCTTCTTCACGTGGGGCTCTCCCAATTTCTTCTCAAAACTTGAGAGATATGTCAATGATGAAGAGAGCTTCTAACCAAAGCAAAACATATTATAAACTAGCACCTTCGGCGCTCCATTACCTTGGATAGTGATTAATTCATTTATTCTTTGCCATTTCGCAAAGAATAAATGATTTGATCACTATGCAAGGTAATGGAGCGCCGAAGGTGCTAGTTTATAATATGTTTTGCTTTGGTTAGAAGCTCTCTTCATCATTGACATATNCTGTGCTCTGAGGAGACGCACAACAAAAGTTGAAATTTTCCTTAAATCGACATCACGTCCGTTATGTGTGCGCCAGCTGCTATTTTTCTATTTCTGCCCGATTCGCTAGGATATAAAAAAATTATTTGAAAACGTAACGTCCCCAAGAAATATGCCCCCCAAAATATTTTGGAAATTTGACATTTTTCCTGAGCTCAGTGCGTCAGCAGTCACGTTCTTGCCAAGTTTCAGCTTTCCATGTGTCTTCGTTTGGTTGAAGCAAAGAGAACTCTTTGATAATATGTTCCCCGAAAAGGTGTGCCCTTATGGGTATCACCAAAGTAGAAATTTTCCTGAACTCAGCATGCGAATAGCAACTTATGTCAGTCAGCTACTCACGATCTTCTATATATAAAAAATGTCGACTTTTTTCTTTACTCAGCTATCCATCAGGTACTTCTTTGCAAGTTTATACTTTCTAGCGCCCTCTGTTTTGCTGGATCAGAAAATTCTGGAAAATACGCCTTTCGCAAAATATGTGCCCTGAGGCGTTTTAACCGAAAAGTACCTTCTTTTTTTTTATACAGAAATCAATCCTCAGAGTACTACATGCCCACAAAGTTTCAACCTTATACGTTTGCCCATTTCACTGGTGAAAAAACATGTTTGGAAAAGCCGACCCACCCAAAAGCTATGCCCGGAGGGGATGCACCATGAAAGCTGAATACTCCCTCAACTCAATATCATGTCACTTATACGTGTGCCAAGTTTCACCTTTCCATTTCTGTCCAATTCGCCACTACAACATTTTTTTTTACATAGCCCCTCGAAAAAATTCCCCCAGGGGATGTATTTTTAACTGAGCATTTTTCTTAAACTCCACGTCTTAAACTCCAGTCATATTCATGCAAAGTTTCAGCTTTCCATGTTCATCAGTTTAATTGATACCAAAAAATTATTTGAAAACATCTCCCTTTGAAATTTGTGCCCCAAGGGCATGGATCTAAAATTTTACATATTTCCTGAACTCATCGTCTCGGAAGGGCACGTCCATATCAGGTTTCAGCTTTCCATGTTTTACTCAAGCAAAAATGTTGTTACAGAGGGGGAATGAGTAACTGGATTAAGTCAAGAGAAGCCGAAAGTAAGCCAAGCAAAACCTGGGTATTGAACCCGAGCCTCCAAATTGCCGGTTAGGTGTGCTACCACTACACCACCGAACACGAGACACCCAGTTAAGCCTCTCGATGCCATCCTCATCCGTAACAATATATATTTAAAAACTTCTCCCCCCAAAATGTGTACCCCCAGGGCATGTGCCTCCAAAATCGGATTTTTTTCTGAACTTTGCATCCCAATAGGTACTTGAGTACCAAGATTCAGATTTCTAACATTTCTAGAATATGGTTAGAATTAGCGACAGTCATTTAGTCAGTCACGATCGTCTATATATATTAGATGGCGACAGGGTTCAGGGGTGGGCAAAAACGTACAATCTTATAAACGTGTAGTTCAATCCTTAATCAAACTTCACCTTCAAAGGAGGTGCAGGTTTTCTTCAAAGCCACTCACCAATGCAAGGATTTCCATTTAATCATGGACCTTAGTGACGTACATGTTCATGATATGAATGGGAAACTTCTAATAGATTCCAGTTTCTTATAGAATTCATTACAACAGGAAACTGCTCGATACTAGATGAAGTTTTAACTACCATTGCCGCTGGATTCCTTTAAGTGCTGCTGGCTCCTTTTTAAAAATCAGTTGTGTTTCGTGGGTTAAATAGCCGAAATCATAACCCATAACAGAAACCCTTTTCAATTAGTAGCTCACAATTAAACTTATTATGTCAAGGGATTTACCTTGTGACAGCAAATAGCGTACCAAGTTTGATTTTCATAGGCGCATGTAAAGCGGGGGCATAAACTGAAAGAATCATGGTGCCAGGCCTTTCATGACGCCTGGATGCTCCATGTATTAATTTCAGACCAACGATTACTACGATATAACCATTTTTGACCTGAGGAATTCCCTCTGGCGGAAAAAAATAAGCATTTTCGTAGTAAAAGCAGTCTCTATCTGCATGTTTCCAAAAGAAACGCATTGAAGCTTGCACGCTTGACTCAGCTCATTTTTATGTTTCTTGCCGCCAAATATCTCCAACTTAATGTACCCAACAAATAGGGCTGTTCTTGTCTAAATGCGATGCAGTGCCAAAATTAGATCTCTGCAGGCGATTTCAGCAGGTTTATAGGGTGCTTGATTCACGTAGGCTAATTGGTGTGCATGCATCAGCTTTAGGCATCAGAATGATGCATAAAGGTGATACATGGGAAGCATCACAATTATATTCCATGGATCAAACACCCTAATAGCTTGTAGTGCAGTTTAAATACTAGCAACAGATGAATATCGAGATTAGAAGGAATTTGACACACAGGGTGATCTAAAAAGGGTGTACTCAAAATTAATTTACTGCCAAACCAAAAGACTTTGTCAGGAAATAAAAATTTAGTACCATCTTTACTATGGTCCATAGGGATTTATGTGCAACGTCACACCTCAAGATGACCACATGCAAGTTCGCAACATAACCTGATACAACGATATACTTCAGTCCTAATATTAGCTAAATATTGGGGATGATAGGGGCAACTGTTACGATGATTTCCTCTTTCAAATTAGCCGAATCAGGAGATATAGAAGTGTGTACCCTGTCTTTCACATGTCCCAAAAAGAAAAGGTCTGCTGGTGTAATACGCAGAGAGTTATTTTCACAGTCCACCTGTGTGACATCATAATAAAAGAATGGTTTTTAGGACACCAAGCAGACAGCCTAGACACATCTTCAGCCAAAGCAGTCTTACTTTTGATTTGATTTTGATTTAAAATATTCATAACAGTTTACCATGACCGTGAATAAATGAAAAGAAAACAGGCACGTGAGAACCAATTTCAAGAGCCACAATGAGACACACTGACAAAAAAAAAACATGACTGCCCCCATGGGTAACCTATCAGAATTAACCTATCAGAATTCTCATAGGTCAAACCATCAACGAAGAACAGTGAACAAATGCTAAAAACGGAACTGTTAAGAACAAAAAATAATTTCCACAGGGAACAGGCCGATGGCATTTCCAAGTTGAAGAGACAACCCATCAAACCGAACCACCCACATAATGAAAGAGTCATCAATTGGAAAAGGAATTCCTGCTATTGAATAAAAACCAATAGTTTATTCAAATAGTATTTAGGCTTACTATAGAAATTTATTTTGATGCTTTCATATCTACATCAATAAAATGTTATTTCTGAGAACTCCATCGGTCATCTCTCTTTTTACACCGAGAACTTATCCTAAATGCAAGGGTTAGGACATCGAACGGAACAACCAATTTTTCATTTCATGACTGTCTGAAGAAAATATTATTTTTTGAGCACTCCATCAACTGAACTACGACTTTCTTTACACTCTCAGGGAAACTGAAGAAAGCCCGCTGCGGTCTATCCACGGGTCCTGGCTGCTTCTATGATCCGGATCGAGACGACGACGACATGATTTTGAGCACTCCATCAACTGAACTACGACTTTCTTTACACTCTCAGGGAAACTGAAGAAAGCCCGCTGCGGTCTATCCACGGGTCCTGGCTGCTTCTATGATCCGGATCGAGACGACGACGACATGATTTGCTACTGTAACTCCACCCTCTGCAACGACAAGGATAACCATGGCTTTCCACCTGATTCCCTTGAATGCTACGACTGCGACGACGAGAAAGAGTGTGGAGATGACGTCGCCCTTTGGAGCACGCAAAAGTGCGTTGGCCCTACGCCAGGGGGTAATCAATGGCACTGTTCTAGCGAATGGCAAGACGGTGAGTTTCTTCCTTGGCAATTGATATCTTGTGCGAAGAATGATTTCCAATACCCTCTTTTTTACACCGAGAAACTATCCTGAATGCACGAGTCAGGACATCGAACGGAACAACCAATTTTTCATTTCATGACTGTCTGAAGAAAATATTATTTTGTGAGCACTCCATCAACTGAACTACGATTTTCTTTACACTCTCAGGGAAACTGAAGAAAGCCCGCTGCGGTCTATCCACGGGTCCTGGCTGCTTCTATGATCCGGATCGAGACGACGACGACATGATTTGCTACTGTAACTCCACCCTCTGCAACGACAAGGATAACCATGGCTTTCCACCTGATTCCCTTGAATGCTACGACTGCGACGACGAGAAAGAGTGTGGACAGGACGTCACCCTTTGGAGTACGCAAAAGTGTGTTGGCCCAACGCCAGCGGGTAAACAATGGCACTGTTTCAACAGATGGCTAGACGGTAACGATCTTTTCTGTTTTCCTTAATTTTTTTCTGTTTTTCTCTTGTTTTCTCTTTTTTCGATTAATTTAAAACGTGAAAATACTTCTGAAATTTTATTTACTGGAACTTCCGTCACCTTACCAGGACTATATTTTTAAGTCTGATTTTCTTTTTTAACGTTATTTCTGAGTGAATCTTCAATATAAGGTTTCTTTTCGACTTGGTATTACTCAGAATTTTTGGAGTTGTTTTAATCCATTTGTGCGATCTAACGTTTGGTAAGGGTTATAATTTTGATCTGCCCTTTTTTACTATGTCCCTTCCAATTTTGTGTATATTCTCCTCTCATTCCATGGTATCTTTGTTTTCCGATTGTTCTAAGTCTGCTGGATTTGTTCTTAAGTACGTCGTCGGTCTTATTTCATAGTTCACGTAATGCGATAATCTTTTTTACGTCAGTTGATGTGTGGACGACCATAACGGGCGCCATCTTTAAAAGTTACCTCGGTCATGTTTGAGTTCAGTCACCCACCGATGATCATTGGCCAATGATGGTGCCTCATTCCTTGATGCTCCTAGTATCTCTTCATGAATCTCCATGGAAGATGAACCACGCTTTAGACAATAGCTGATGATGACCCTGAGGTCATCATCTCCTACCTGACAGTTCACAGTGCACTGAGGAAGTGGCCATCGTTGACCCTACCTCGATTCAAGGAAGTTTCAGTAACTTCTTTAAAAAGAGATGGCCTCAGACCGATATTTATCTGATACATCCTGAGACTTGGGGGGGGGGGGGGGGGGGGGGGGGG